AGTGAACTCCCTCTCATACTCGTCAACAGTACGAGTACCCTGCTGGAGTGATAGAAACTGACGCTCCATCTCTGCTCGGTAGTAGGTGGGGTAGTACTTCTCGCGGATTAAATCCTTGAGCATCTCCCACGTACATCCCGCCTTCTCGCCGGGACGCATACTCCAGTAAGCGTTCCACCAGAGCCGGGCATCACCGGTGAGCTAAAGCTGAGCGCAAATTACGCTATATCTATCAGGGCAATCCATGACCTCGAAGATAAACTCCAGGCCCTGAATCCATTCGTCTACGATGCGAGGATCTCCCTGCCCTGAGAATTTCTCGGCATGATAGTCGCGGAACTGGGCGACTACTGTAGCCTGAGTAGGAGCCGGATGATCGGGTTCCCTACGTGGCGACATCTGAACATTGGAAAAGTTCAAAATTATTGAACACGTGATAATATTCTGACTGATTACTAAGGCACACAGATCTCTTGACGAGTTGCCAAAAATGGCCGAAAAATACTGACGTTAAACCTGAAGAACTCTAGAGTTATATCGAAAGATATTAAATTCTAGAGTCATGTCTGAGTATACTGATCTCTAAAGTCATGTCTGAATATACTGAATTCTAGAGTTATATCTGAACTCTAAAGTCTGAATCTGATTCGACCATCTTAACTAAGTCTGATTACTGATTTCTGAGCATAGACAAAGTAATATGTTTATAACTGAAAAACTGAATCAGCAATTACCTGGAGTCGGCGAGGCGTGAGCGTGACGGTTCAGGTTTTCTGAAAATTACTGACTGAAAACTTTTCAGAGACACAGAAACGTGCTCTGATACCAATTTTTACACCCCGACTTTTTAATACTATCAGAGTACGCGATTTGTCACAAATTTTCTGAATAAATAAATAAAACATTAATTTTTGCGAAAACTGATTCGGGATGCTACCGTGAAAAACTTTATTTTTTTGAAAACCGTTAAAATTTTAAACTGATAAATAAAAACGGTTATAATGTCTTATCCGACTAATGTCGGAACAAAAACTGAAAATAAGTACTGATAGTTTTAGCAGAAATAACTGTGTGGCAAAACATATATACATATATTCACAAATATCCTGAACTGCCCGCCAGCTCACTCCTCCTCCCCGACCCTGCGACTTGAAAAACATGAAATTTGTGGGGGCGTGAGAACTAAAACACTTGTGCTCCGCAGAAACTCATACTAATGTAAACATTGTAAATAATAACAATATCATGATCTAAGCACATATAACTGAACGGAAACTGAAGCTGAAACTGATATCTGATAACGGTCTGATCTCGCGACATAAGTCACGTAACTGATAACTGAATATATGTCGGCACAAACTAATACTGAAATCTGCCGGCACAAACTAATACCGGACCATTTTGCACACTCTAGTGGTTAGATTAGGCCACTAGAACCCAGAATGGACCGGCGACCATTCCGAGCGGTAGCGTAATTATAAACAATGTAGTACTTAGTCTGAGTCCCCACCTGAACTGCTGAAACTGAACGGTAGTGCTGATGCCTGATCAAACTGAAAATAATATAAACAATTACTATTGACTATGCTCAGACTGATAATTAACTGTTTAATTATGTTAAGATGCTCTACTGAACCTGACATGATATTCGGACTTATTCGGTATAACTAAAACTGGCTAAGTACGAAATTGAACTGACATAAATTAACTGAGCTAAACTGAACCCGGAATTTTAACTGAAAATGATACTGAAATTGCGAACCGGGACTGAAATTGACAAGTACTGACTGAACCGGTCCAGCCGGTCTGAACCGGTCTGGACCAGACTGCCGGTCCGCTGAACTGGGCAGTCGGGCTGGCTCGGCCGGCGGCCTGCCAGGTGCTGCACACGCGGGCACTAGC